ATTTCAATAAAGATAATAGGAAGAAATAAATAATTGCGATGACATATCGCAAACTAAAAGTTTGTGGAAATGTTCTTTGAGAGGCTTTCAAATGCAATAATTGTATCAAATATGGTGTTTCGAGAATTCGAGGGACTTGAACTCAGATATTATGTTGGTTTATCGGGAAGTAAAAGACGATGAATCATCGAAGCTTTGATTCTCATGGTTTATGTTGATATTATGTTGAAAACAAATTTGCAATTTGTCATCACATGATCAAAGCTTCGATTCTCTCTACAAGACAGTAATGGGACTAACACAATACGTATTAAGCTTCCAAAGGGAAGCCATTTCCAAACATATCCTCACACCCGAAACCTTAAAAAATACAGAGAATTGATACACAGCAGTAAAAAGCTGTAGAAGGAGACAGGTAGCAGAGTGCAATGGGAAAAACACAGTGCTGTTATGAACTTCCATTTGATCTATGCTTCGGAAACTAGAACACCCCTCACAAATGTCAAGAAGGGATTCACCATATGAAGCAACAAAAAAATCAACCAAATTTTCCATTCAAGGGTTAAAAAAACGTATTTATTCCAATCCCCTGACTAAACAAGCCAAATTGAATAGGGTTTGTTCATAAATGATCGGATCAATGGGGGATTGGGCTTGTTGAATTGATTTATGCTTTCATTGACACGTACATTGCACTGAATCAACAATGCACGCAACGCCTGAGAAAGCAACTCGATTCAAATTAATCATTACTCGGCGACGAATGAAAGAGAACCTGGATAACTATAGAGCTCAGATGATGAAAGCAAAAAATTAAAACAATTAGCAATGATTAAGGACTAGATTAGCCTAGAAGCAATCTCAATCATATGGCGTAGGCGCATAAGAGCATTAATTAGATTAAACTCAGTTCAGTGCATACATCGGCAGATTAAAAAAAGGAGAAAAAAAATCAAATCGGAGAGAGTATTTGCGCAGAGATCTACTCAGAACCTGAGTTTGGAGAAGAACCACCTGTTCTTCCCGGATTTGAACCGCTCTTCTAGCCGAGATTTGGCCTCCTTGGCGGCGGTGACTCTCTTATTACGCGACTGGAGGCAATCCGGAGTGATAACGTCTTTCAGATCTACGTCCAGAGTGTATCGCGTCGGCATAATGTGGTTGTAGTTGACGACCTTGACGAAAGCCTTCACGCGCGACTTCTTCGCCTGCTTCTTTGCCGAGTCCTTGCGGATGATCTTGCTCGGGTACTTGGAGATTCCGGCGACGAGGCAGTGGCCGTAGCGGCGTTCGTGAGTGCCTTCTTCAAAGGACTTCACGATGACCGCCTTCTTCCCGGCGTATCGGCCCTGGAGGAGGATGACGGCCTTGTTCGGCTTCAGAAATTTCACCATTTTCGGTTGCGCCGCCGCGGGGCTGGGAAAGGTGAAACCCTAGTGTTCTTCTGGACGCTGGTTTATCAACTTTATAAAGGAAATCTCGCGCGGGCACTCGACTTCGTAATGGAACCCTGGATCATATTCGGGCTTTTCGACGGTCTTTATCCTACGCAAATTGGGCCTGCTTTGCAGCCCAATAAGATCTCAAATCTCAACTTAATGAGGAAAATTAGCACCAAAAATGTTACTCCCTTGGAAAAATCTCAGAAAATTACTCGCGGGTGACGCGAGTTTTGTTGAAATAACTTTCAGGTCCCTCTATTTTTAAAAAGACAACTGAGGTCCTTATATTTTGTTGTAATGACTGGGAGGGGACATTTCATCCAATACATCATCCGTAAGTGTTAATAAATGTATTTTTTTTCCTATTTTTCCAATACCATTTTTTCCTATTTTGCCATTACCTTGTTTTTTATTTTTTAAATTTTTTTTATTTCATTTCTTTTAATATAATACAAACAATTTTGAACTTTATACGATTTTATAGAAGAAATTCTAAAATAACACTTTAAAAAATAGTAACAAATGAAAGAAAGACAAAGAAATAAAAAAGGAGCGACCTAAGATTTATTACCTTAAAACAATTAGAAAAGAATAGAAAAAAATACATTTATTAACGTTTATAGATGAAATATTGGAAGAAATGTCCCCTTCCAGTCATTACAACAAAATGTAAGGACCTCTGCTGTCTTCTTGAAAATAGAGGAACCTGAGAGTTATTTCAACAAAACTCGCGTCACCCGTGAGTAATTTTCTGGAAAAATCTTTCCATTATTTTTTTACTTTGTAATATTTAAAATATCACAATTATTTTCATTTACTTTATTTAATATATTTCATCTATCTTATTTAATATGCTCTACCCATTGTTATCAGGAGTATTTTAGCAAAATTCTATCTTTTTCAACCCTAAAAAATTACAAAAATTAATTTGGAAAGATTTATAACGGACAGAGCGAGTAGTATATAATATGTATGTTGTTAGGCCATACAATGTGGATCACGCGATCACGCCCATCACTAACTACCACTTAGTTCCATGTTAGTTTTTCTCTTTCTTATCACTATTCATCCATGTTCATAGTGTGGATCACGCTCATCCTTTTTCTTCTTTAAAACTATTTTAATTTGAATTATTTAAACTTAAAATATAAAATAAAATTGTCTTTAATACTAAAATAAAATATAAAATAAAATATAAAATGACAAAAGAAAAAATACTTCATTAATACTAAAATAAAATTCCACTCACATAATGCATTGCGATTAAAAGTTGGAATAAAAAAGTATAATTATATAAAAGGTACAAAAAAAGATTATTCGGCATCCGGAAGTGGTGAAGCAAAATTCTATATATGTTCAACCAAATCGGCACGAAAATTTTGGTGTATGTGTGCTGTAACGCCAATCTCTTGAGATTATGTTGCGTCTCATCAACATGTTCAACATTGTCATTGACATTGTTCAGATCGTATTCACATGAAGCATATCATTTTTATTCCGATAATGATGTTATGTAGGATGCAACAAGCGTACATAAATCATCGAATTTTTTGTGTGCGAAAATTCTTGTCGGGTTTGCACAACACGTCATCTCTACTTGAGTCCACTAAAAAGGCATTCCACATGTGTTTCGTGTCGTTCCACATGTGTTTCATGTCAATTCTTGATATTTTGCAAATTTCTTTCCCTTCGAATCATCAGAGAATGGTATTTTTTTACTATAGTCACGTAGAGCTAGTTTTAAGCAAAATAATCCGCAAGTAATGAATCGTGGCCACCTACGCATTAGTTCAATTAAATTTAAAATAATATTATAAAAAATAATGAAATATAATTCATAGTACGTATGAGATGAAAAAAATTAGTAATACCAACTCGGTCTCTATTTAGGGCTCTTCTTTTTACGTGGTTCAGGTGTTCCTCGTTTTGTTGTTGTTGTTGTGTAGAATTCAAACCACCTGCGCCGTTGTATTCATAAAAAGAGTTACAACTTCATAGGAATTGGAAGACGTCCAACGAAAGCTTATTAAAATTTATAGTAGAAGTAGAAAAAAAGTATTGAAGATGTGAAATTGAGATGTGCAATGATGTGTTTAAATAATAAAAAATAGAAAGGGAGGGAAACTAGCATGATACGAATGATGGCATTCAGATCCATCACAATCACGGGGGAGTGGGCAGTGTGCCCTCCGCATCACGCACCAAGGTGGCAGCCATATGATAAGCCCATTTTTGGTCTTATTTTGTATCTCATAATTTAACGTTCTTGTGCATAAATAAAAATAAATCAAGAATTTTAAATAATTTTTCATACTTAAAATTTCATTTTACAAAATTGTTAATAAAAAAGATTATTCAAAATTAAATTTAGCTTTTCTAAGCATATCATGATCAAATATGAAGAAAAAATATTTCAAATTAAAGATCACAATTCAAAAAGAGACTCAATTAGAATTTGGAGCAAAAAGATTGAAACAAAATGGCACAAGTGTAAAATTTGAGTGAATTGCGGTCCAGGCCTCCGAGAGGCGTGCACCCCAACTCCAGGCGCACGCTTATGCGTGTTGACGTTTGACATGCAGCACAAAATTGCAACTTTTGGCAGAGAATTTGATCGGACATCGGCCCAGGCGCCGGATAGGCATGCGCCCCAACCCCAAACGCCAAGGGGATAAGACCCGAGTTTGATGGAAGGGTTTCGCTGCCGGCGGTAACTATTCGGTTGATTAAGTCAGAGAGGTAGGATTCGGTGTTGTTCTTCTTGATCCAGGTGGTAGGTTTGTGAAAGCATGTAACGGTACTATTCTGTGTTCTCAAGATCCCCTTCTAGCAGAAGCAATTGCGGTTAGAGAGGCTTTGACTTGGTTAAAGAGAGAGGCATGCTTGGAGGTGCAACTTTTTTCTGATAGCTGGATGGTGGTGAATGCCATCAACCACGCCACCAATTCTCGCTCGTACTTTGGTTCGGTTATTGAGGAGTGTAGGCTATTTTTATCTTCTTTCCGTTCAATTTGTATCTCTCATGTTTGTCGAGATTTGAATGGTGTTGCTCATGTGTTAGCCCGTCGAGCGGTTGCTCAATGTGGGGTTTGAGAATCTGTTCCTCCAGACTTTATTGTTTCGCACTTTAATTAATGTGATTTTTTCCTTTAAAATTAATAATTAAATATTTAAAACCAGCTACCGAGTATAGTTGAGGACAATTTATAACCATACACATTACACCAAACCATATGGTTGTTTTTAGAAGGGAATTTCCATACAAATCAAGGCAACGTTTTATTTAACTTTTTTTTCTCCTTAATACTTACATTTATTATAATTAGATCATACTAGATTAGAAATCGGTTTAATTATAACTGCAATCAGATCAGATTAGTTTAGACGACATCAGATTTCAAGAAATGAGAGGAAGCCAATGGGACGCAGCCTAAATCGAGTGCGAAAAGAAACTTCAATGGGAGAAGAGTTAAGGGACCAATGCTAAAATTGGCACAATACTTTCTATAAACGGCGAGCAGGACAAATACTGAACACTACCGTATTAAAAGCGGAAAGCTTATTTGGACGCTCCACAGAGAGAGAGAGAGAGAGATTCCCTTCCATCTGTAAAAAGAAAAAAAACGTATTCCCTCCATTCCAGTCTCTCCTTCTCGACCTCATTCCACCCTCCATTACAGCTCCCCCCTCCCTCAACCCTAGAATTGGGAGTTCTACTCGTACCCGCTCTCCTCTCCATGCCAAAACCCTAGCTGCGTTGACGAAAATGGCTTCTCATGTTGGGCGAAATGTTGACTTCTTGGTCCGTAGATAGATTGTATGTATTTTCGTGTTTGAAATTGTGACTGCGCAGGGGGGTTTTGAGGGTTCAGGATCCACATCTGTTCTTGTAGCTATGGAGAGATCATCTGGCTCCGATTTCAAGGGCCTGGCCGACTCGATTAGTTCCCTCTCTGGTCAGCTCTCTCGTGGTTGCGTTTTTTTTTTTTGCAATTCTTAGAAATTTTTATTGTACTGTACATCGAGCTCCCGGGGTTTTGCTATCGATTGTGTTTATCTGAGTGCCCGAGTGTGGAAAATTTTGGCGATGCTAAGAGAGAAACATTGTATTTCTTGTGTTCAGGTGCAGAAGGTGGAGTTTTTGATGCTTCTCGCTATGCCTTCTTCGGGAGAGGGACTGGAGCGGAGGTTGAATTGGGGTGTTTAGAGAGTGAAGAAGGTAGTAGTAGTGGTAGCAGCGTTCCTGTTGCTGGAGGAGTTGTGGGGGGTGATGATCAGATACTTGAGTATCACTTATTTGAGAAAGATGAGGTATGCGCTGTTGTGCGTTTTTATTGAGTACCACACTGATATGCATTTCAGTGCCGGTTGAATCCGTTTTTGTCTGGAAAGAGATGAACACATTGGTTATCTGCTGAGTCAAATCCTTCATATGCAGGGTTCTGGATTAGGATCTTTATCTGATCTGGATGATCTTGCAACAACCTTTTTGAAGGTCAGCAAGATGGAATTTTCGATTGTGCAGCAATTAAAATCTTCAGTGTTATTTTCGTTGTACTCGAGTTTTTCATAAAACTTTTCATGGTGTGTTAGATATTAGAATTGTAAACCGTTGTAATTTTTTATGACTTTTGAGGGTATGATAAGTTAATACCCGTACCAGTTCTGGTTATGCCACTAGCATTTCCTTTATAGTTTTGTGTTTGTTGTGTCAGATGGTTATACAGACTTGCATTGTAAATTATATTCAAACGTAACGTTTCCTCTAAGCTCGCAACTTTCAGTGATTATACCATTCCTAAAGTTTGTTATGTGGATTTTGGGTTCTCTGGCCCGAGTCCTGCCCTTCCATCGATTACCCATTGCCATCATTTTACCTGCAATAGTGTTATAGCGGTACAATATAACTTATTGTCATTACTATCATCTCATGCAAATTGTAGTTAAGTAAAATAGCTACTAAGAAAGTAAGAAGGAACAATGCCGCATCTTCAATTGTACAAGTATGTACATAGAATTTCATAGGATAGTCTTATTGGTTTTCATCCTCTTCTTTTATATTATGTCTATGCCAAGTGATTTGTCAGTTTTTTAAGTGTCATATTTGTAAGTCATTGGCTCATTGCTACCGTCTTAGTATTATTTTCCAGACAACAAACATTGTATTCTTTTTTTCATGTGATTTCACATAAATTCCCATTCCAGTTGAACAGAGATATTGCAGGTCCAAGACATCCTGGAGTAATTGGTGACCGCGGGTCAGGATCTTTTTCAAGGGGAAGTGAGTACAAATTTTATAATGTCACCACATTTCTCAATTTCAAGCATATAAATATTTGTTACCTATTTGGGTTGTGATTTTCCTTCCACATTATTCAATTGAAATAACACTTGGGTATTACTTTCCCTCTCCCAAAAACGAGTCATAAATTTAACTGAAATAAGAAACATGTTTTCAAATTAGTCTTCCATCCATAACATAATTTAAGATACATTTGGGTTTGACACAAGGATGATTGTTCTTTTACCATTTTGAACTTCTACAAAGATGAAAAGTATTATCCGTCCCACTCAAAGTTAAAAAATGAAATGATAGAGAAAGGATAAATTGAGTAAGTAAAAAGATACTAGTATAGTTTAAATCGGGAAAGTGAACATAGTTTTGGGACTAACTATTAAAGAGAACTATATATTGCCACACTTGACGGAGGGAGTAATGGCAAAGACCTGACATTAAAACGATCTTACTGTAAGGGCCATTTAGCTCTCGTAATATGACATTACCTAGGTAATGTAATCAAGGTAATTTAACATAACCTTGTTTAGTTCAGGTCACCAGAATTCTTTGTAATGCTCTCCATCATGATTGGATTCTTAAGTAAAAGAAGGGCAATATGATTACCTCCATTTTCATAGGGATTATGAGATTATGTTAGGTGGTAGTGTAATTCTTTAGACTATTTCAAGCGTGTCCTAGACGATTTAGCAACACAAGTGATATGGCATTCCATTAGCCAAATAACTCAAGATGGTCTTGTATTGCCGCAAACTTTTAGCAAGCCAATAATTCTACTACGGAAGGTTTATGGTGTTTGACTGAAGTTATTTTCAATTCAATTTGTTTCAAAACTTGTGTAGAAATAAAAAATAAAAATGATATATTTAAAAACTCTATTTAAAGATCTTTAAAACAAGAGGTGACAACACTATTTTATTTTATCAAATGAGTGACGAAAATTGGTAAAGAAAGTGAATAAAGTTTGAAGTTAGGAATAGTAACTACCCCTTTTGTTTTGGGATGGAGGGAGCGTAACAATCTGTTTACCAAAGCCTCCTCACTGTTTTCTAGTAGCATCATAACCTGGCCTTGGAAAAGCAGAGCACATTTTTTTTATTTACTTTTAGTTTGGACAAAGACAACAGGAAACAAAAATGCTACTCCCTCAAAGTCTTGTTTGGAAACTTATTTGTCTCATAAAAGAGTTCTATTTCAACAAAGAAGCTAACTTTCATTGAATTGAATGCAACCTCTGAGAAAAGATCTAACTATGTTTTTTATTAAGGTAAGAAAACGCAAAATGTGTAGGGTCGATTCAGTAAAAACAGTTGTACCTTACCAAAATTTAAAAACCTTGATGATACATGATTTTTTTGGGATAGAGGGAGTAGACCTGTTGAACATTAATACATTATGAAGTCTAAAATGTTTCCTTTTCCTTCTCTCCTGACTTGGATTTGTTACTAGGGGGTTCTGTTTAATCAAAGTTTGTGTGCAGGCTCATCCACAACCACTGCTGAGTGGGCAAAAGATGCAGATATTCCTGACTGGCTTGATCAACATTACTCCGACACTGAATCTTACATGGAAAGCAAACGATGGTCTTCTCAGCCACACCTCTCTTCTATGTATCATCTCACAGAGTCAAAACCAATTCATAGAACATCTTCATATCCTGAACCTATTTCAGTACAAAAATCTTCTCATTCTTCTTTTCCTCCTCCTGGCGATAGATCTCATCAGACTTCACAACACAACCTACACCATTCACCCTTCTCTGCTGCAAATTTATCTTCCCTGTCAAATTCCAATTTGCATTTGTCTGGCTTTTCTCATGGTCCTCAGTTGGGTAACAGGTCACCTTTAATCTCTCCCAGTTTCTCTGTGAATAACCGCCTAGAGAACAGTTGGGTCAACCATTCAAACCTCTCAAACAATGTGTTGCCACATCAACTTCTGCATCACAATGTGATATTGTCCCCTCAGTTGATGCCCTCTGAGCACCAAAGGCTGCAATTTTCTGCGCAACCTGCTTTGCCACATTTTCCTTCAACGAGGCCGCGTATGTATAATTCTCTTTCTGTGCCATCTCACCTGGGTAAATATGTATTACCTGATTCAAGACCCAAATCACAGAAGGGTAAAAGCGTGAGATTTTCTCCACAAGGATCTGATGCAAGTAGTAGTAGCCCAAAGAATGAAAGTAAGGTGTTGCAGTTCAGATCCAAGTACATGACGGGCGAAGAAATTGAAAACATTCTCAAAATGCAGCAATCTGGGAACCATTCAAATGATCCGTATATCGATGATTATTACCACCAGGCACGACTTGCTAAGAAGTCAAAGTGTCGTCTCTGTCCAAACAAGGAACAACCTGCCGGCCCTTCCCGGTCTCGTAACAGCACAGAATCACTACCTTATCTGCGTGTTGATTCCCAAGGGCGGGTTTCGTTCTCTTCCATTCGTAGGCCGGCCTCTCTTCTTGAAGCGGACCCCGTATGCTCTTCTTCTCGTCAATCAAAAGAGACCCCTTTGGAACGGGACCCAAAGTTTGCAGCTAGAGTCACAATAGAGGACAGTTTCTATCTTCTTCTCGAGGTAGATGACATTGACCGGCTTCTTCAGTTTAGTCAGCCACAAGACGGTGGCGCTCAGCTCAGGCAAAAACGACAGATGCTTCTGGAAGGTATGGCAGCTTCACTTCAACTTGCAGATCCACTTGGTAAGAAAACCAGCAGCTGCACTTCCAAGCCGAGCCCTAGGGATGACAGTGTGTTTCTGTGGGTGGTCTCTATCCCCAAAGGCAAGAAACTCATATCGAGATACCTTCAGCTTCTTATTCCAGGAGGAGATCTTGCCAGGATAGTTTGCATGGCTGTTTCTCGTCATCTAAGGTTTTTATTCGGCGGAGCAAGTAAAGAGACCATTGATCTTGCGAAGACAGTGTCAGCATGTATCAGCGGAATGGGTCTTAATTCACTGGGCGCATGTCTAGCTGCCGTAGTGTGCTCCTCCGAGCAACCTCCTCTCCGTCCCCTTGGAAGCCCTTCCGGCGATGGAGCCTCCCTCATCTTAAAATCTGTTCTTGAGAGGGCTTCTTACCTGTTAATGAGCTTTAGCGCGCCAAGCCCAGCTCTATGGAATGCTTCATTTGATGCCTTTTTCGGTCTTCTGACAAAATATTGTGTTAGTAAAATTGATAACATAATGCACACAGTTGCACATGCAGAAACGGTCAAAGATGTGGGAAGGGCCATAAACAGTGAAATGCCCGTCGAACTTCTGCGCGCGAGCCTTCCACACACTAATGAAAACCAAAGAAAGCTGCTGATGAAGGTTGGCCAGGGTTCTATACCTTCTGCATCACAAATACAACTCCCAAATCTGTGAACCCTAATCTTTAGCAGGGAGATGTCAAGCAGAACCTTCATTATGTACCAAGCTGCACTTACATATATAAATATATCTCAAGGTTTGCCATTGAATAAGCAGCTAGAGAATCAAGGGTATGTAATATGTGTACCTAATATTGATTTCATTTTACTGCATATAGTCCCTCTCCCGCCGCACCCTTCTCATTGTATCTGCCTCTTTTCCATCTGTTTGCTTGTTTTAAGGTTCTATAATGTACTTGTTTCTGGGTTATGAATGGTTTTCTCTGTTGAAAGACAATGTGTTAATTACTCCCTTTTGTTTGAATGATCAGTGTCTGCAGTTCTCTTCCAAGAGCCAAAAGGGTATGGTGAGTTATGCTACAATTACACCAAAAATTACTCCCTCCTCCCCCTTGGAAAAACTTTCTTGTTTGATTTTCCCGAAGTCTAGGAAAAGTGTTGAAAAGTAAATACCCTATTGTTAGAATT